TGATGATGATGGTGGTGCTGATGCTGATGTTGATGCTGATGCTGATGCTGCTGATGCTGATGCTGATAATGATGCTGAAGCTGAAGCTGATTCTGATGATGATGATGATGGTGGTGGTGGTGGTGATCGTGGCGAAGATGTTGATGATGGTATTTGTCGTCATGCTGGCCGTCGTCCTGACCATGTTGTTTGGGTTTGGCGGTGTTCGTTGCCATCGGTTGGCATTGCCACACTCATGTACTGCTATATCATGAATGTTTGTTATCGCAATTCCGGTTGTGCGACTGGAAGAACATAAGAGGCATCCCTTGTCAGCAGCTGTCTGGGTCATTTCTGTGCACCAGCCCTCTGGCTCCCCGCACGCTGTCCCAGCACATGGCATCCATCACCCAGTGGCCGCACGGGTACTGCTTGCGCATGCCCGTGGCCCCGGGGTTGGTCCGTCAACATCCCCAGCTTTGGCCGTCACAAGCTGTCTTGGTTCAGCAAAGGCTCCGCTATGAAGCTCAGGAGTTCGTCCCGTCGAACTCCACGGCTGTCTACTCGACCAACCAGGGCAACCCTTTGTTCATGTTCGCAGGCCCTTCTGCATCAGTCGGAGGAGGCTGCAGCACGAAGTCGACAGAGGACTGCGGTGAAGACTCCTGCGCAGTTGGCGCAGTGCAGCCCGAGGCACGTCAGCCGGTAGGTGAAGATGGCGACGTTGATTTTGGGGTGCAGGCAATGCCGCAGAAGAAATCAGGGAAACGACTTATCAATGCTCAGCTCCCATTGAAAAGGCAAGATGCCAAGCAGCAGGAGGTTTCTTGTCTCCCAGCTGAGGAATGGGGCTTACGGGCATTGGATGCTGTTGAGGTGACTGTCCAGTCCAGAATCCTCGAGACCGAGATTACGCGCACGTTGCAGGCATGGGGGAAGATAGGAGGAGCACACGGAAAAGCCTTAAGCTATGGAAACCGCAGGCCTAGAATCGGCCTAGAAGTAGGGGCAACAAGTTACAAAAGCAGGTAGTGAAAGCAGCAGTAAGAGCAATAATAGAAGTGCTGGTAGTCGTAGGCAGCAGTCACCGTCGCCGTGGTTGGTAGTCGTCGTCGTATAAACAGCAATTGCAGCAGCAGCAGCAGCAGCAGGACTACAAACCACAACAGCTATGATTCCAAACATAATGAGCAACAGTAACAAGCTTGCAGGCGCTTTCCCGAATGTTGGTTCCTTGTTCTTGAACCGCTCACCCCTGCAGGCAGACGGTGCCGGTGATGCGCCAGCACCAGAGCCACGCAGTGGAGAGCCTCAGTTCATCCCTGCAAATCCATGTGCGGTAGCTCAAGCCACTGGGTGGCGGCTGCTGACGCGCTCCGATGAATCAGGTGTGGAGGTTGAGAGGATGTTGCAGCTTGATCCAACAGCCACGGATCTGGCATCAGGGGATCGGTCGTGCTGCCCAGCAAGTGCAGCTGCGGTGGCGGAGCCCAACACGTATGGTATCATTGAATTCAAAAGCTCCCACATGCACGATGAAAAGAAGCACGATCCTGCCATCGCCCGAAGCAGCCAGGGCAGCATTGAAGAGCAGCAGGTGGCTGATGTTGACATCTGGGCTTCTCCTGCTTTCACCGATGTGACACACGATGGTTCAGAGGACTCGGTTGCACTGCAGTCGAGTCCGACAACATCTCCGGCAGCAAGTTCAGTGCATGGAGCACCATCTCAGAATGTGCAGCCAGATGGCACCCTCCCTTTCCAGGTTGAGCCTGGTGTTGAGTACGATCGAGGCTGGGTCAAATACAAGGACCCAGAAGGCGGAGAAATCTGGTTCCACAATGAACACACGGATGACTACTTCTTTGCTCAGTACAGCCGTCAGTGGGGTTGGCTGCCCTACGAAAGCAACATTGGGCAGCGGTGGTGGTGGCACGACAAACGCAAAATCTTCTTCTTCGAAGGCCTGAAGTAGTTCGGGGTGAACTGTGCAAGGTCTTTGCAACATGAGCAGCAGGAAGCCGATGCTATTTGAGAGAGTATGTGCTAAGTTTTTGCATGATCGACCCACATGCATTACGTGCAGGTGGTCGTCACACAAGCAGCAGAGCATATGTCAGTTTGCGATCGTTATGCGCTGGACATGGGAGCATGCATGGACAAAAGAGGGGCAGCCTGCCGCTTCCAGTCTCGAAGGCTTCATTTGAGTTGAGCCCAGCACTTGCCCTGGAAATTTCGGCTCAGTAGGGTGGGCACAGGTAGAGGCCATGCTGGGAAATCAGGCCAGCGCGAGGGGTTCCTTCAAAGGATTCCTTTAAGGGTTCCAGGGGTACCTCTAAGGGTGCCTGTCGAGGTTTCCTCTAAGGCTTCTTTAGGGTTTAGGGTTTAGGGCCTTTAATGTTTGGTTTCTTGCAATGTATCTTGGCCACAAGCTGCAGGATCATTTGGGATCCCTCGCGCATGGGCTGCAACACCCTAAACTTCAGACTATTTTTCGACTCCTCGAAGCCCCTATCCGCAAAAAAGCCCTAAGTCTCTAAAGCTCGAAAGCTTGAAGCCCTAAACCCTAAACCCTTCAAACCCTTCTCCCAAGAAACACTTCTAACCCTTTATGCCCAAAAACCCTTCTAACCCTTTATGCCCAAAAACCCCAAACCCTCAAAATCCGGCAGCCTCCAGCAGACCAAAATCCCCAGGCCTGGGCTCACTCTGACCGGCTCCGGTGTCAAGGTTTGGGATGTGGGCGGGTTTACCTTTAAGGGTTCCCTTAAGGGCCTAGGGTGTAGGGGTTTGTGGTTTGGGAGTTGGGGGTTCAGTCGTGGTCTTGTCTTAAGGTGCAAAACTGCCAAACGACAACGGACATCATCCATGAGCTTGTCAATAGACCGCACCCAATCGCTGCAAATGGCAGGACGGCTCCAGTTATTTTAACTCGTACGTCGTTGATGACAGAAAATGCTCTGAGCAATTGTATGTTTTGTCGCGAAGAGGTTCAGAGCAGCCGCACGACAAACATTGAGCGTCCTCCTTAGCACTCTAAACCCTAGACCCTAAACCCCCCTAAACCCTAAACCCTAAACCCTAAACCCCCGCTCTAGCTGCAATAGTAGCGCCCGGCCAAAGACTTGATGGTTGACTGGAATCCGATCGGCTCAAGCTTACTGATGCTAGGTTCCCCAGTAGTACCCTTTTGCCCCTTGTATTTGGGGGGTCTCCATATTAAAGCCGGATATTAGGAAAAAGGGCACCCTTATTAATTATTATTATTATTATCATTATTATTATTATTAAGGGGTTACTGGGGAACCTAGGATGCAAACATGAAAAGCATGAATGGCACTCGGTCGCGGCGTAACATGGCGTATCCCAGAACTCTCGACTGCAGGTGCCGCTTCTTTGGTAGGTAGGCTCTTGGCCGCAGGACACTGCACACTGCCAAGCATTGCTGAATCTTAGAAGTTACGGAAGAAAAATCGTTAAACCTAAAGCTGATTCCAAACAAACTTATACACATACGATATTCTACAAAGTGTTGCAGAATGTATTCTGTAGGATATGTATAGTGATTATTTTATAAGGTATCTTGTTCTCTATATTATGTATACCTTACGAGGTAAGTTTCGATTTGTTCAAGAAGTTCCTAGATCCCAGAATCCGCGTTTTTCATTCATGTGAACCCCTTACCCAGTAAATTATAGTTTGATCGGGGAGATCTCAGATCTTGGGCTCCTCCCGATGTTTCCTTTTGTAAATGCTTTTCCCGTAAAATATTCTGTAGGGTATTGTGGGGTATTTTATAGGGTATGTTTCTATATATATATATATGTATGCATGTATGTATGTATGTATGTATATATATATATATATTGTTTATTTATTTATTTATTTACGTATATGTATAGCTGCTATTCAACAAGGTGTATACAGGGCATATAGGGGGGTAGTCTATAAGTATTACCGTATTGTTTAAGAAATTTCTTTTAAGGTGTGTAGATAGGGTATACTGTAAGGTTTTCTCGTTTATTCCTCATTTCTTTCATAGAAATCCCTTGCTCAATAAGCTATAAGATCTTGGGCTCCTCCTAATTTCTCTTTGTTGAATCCTTGTCTATAGGTCTATAGGGTTTCTTTCGGGTATTCCAAAGAGGATTCTCAACGGCACATATAAGGTATAGGGGGGGGGGTTCATGTAGAGGGTGTTCTATAAGGCATTCTATGCAATATTCCAGATGGAATTCTATAAGGCCTATGTATGGTATATAAAAGACAAGCAAGGTATTCTATTGGGCCTTCTATAGGGTACCTATAGGGTATTTAAACACGTATTGTAGAAACGGTATTCTATATATACATTCTATAGGCTAAAGGGTATTCCGTGAGGTATATACAGGATACTTAGGATATAATCTTATGGTATTACCCAGGGTAATCTATATGAAATTTCGCAAGGCACATAGAAGGGGTATTCTATAAGATATGTTACAAGCTATTCTTCTACGAGCAGGTTCCAGTTTCCTTCATAGGAATCCGTTACTCAATAAGCTACAGCTCAACTGGAAATTGTTCATGGCTTCGTGTACTGCAAGAGATCAGTAGGCTTGGAGTCACACTTGATTGTGTACAGCTGCGCATTCATCACATGTTCCTTATCACTAGACCCTTTGATAAGCACTTATTGGCTCAAAACTTCGCCTGGAGGGGAACTGAACGGACCAGGCGGTTTTGCTTTGGGCACCAGCCCCGAAACCGATTGATGCTCATAATGCTCGCTGTGGCCGTGGCTGATGCTCATGCTCCTACACGCCCCAGGCAACGGACCAAGCGGTTTTGCTTTAGGCACCAGCCCCGAAACCACTTGATTTTCATGATGCTCGCTCCGGCTGCGGCTGATGCTCATGCTTTGACACGCCCCAGGCTTCCAGATTCCAGATGCGCAATTTGACAGGCCTCATGACTCAAGATTCCAGATTGCCAGGCCCACCCCAGCCCCACCCCCACCCCCACCACCCAAGATTCCAGATTTCCAGATTTGCACGCCCCCAGTTTTTGGAGATTCGAGATTCCAGATTTGCACGACTTATGTTTCCAGATTTCCGGATTTGCACGCTCTTATAAGGTTTCCAGATTTCAGATTTCCGGAAATCTGGAATCTGGAATCTCTGGAAGTTTATGGCGTGCAAATCTGGAATCTGGAATCACTGGAAGCTTTGGGCGTGCAAATCTGGAATCTGGAAACCTACATCCTGCAGAGAGCCGGAAATCGGG